ACGACCAAGGCCGGCGCGGCTGGGCGCGCTGCATCCAGTCCGTCGAGCACTCGTCGTGCCCGAGCGTACCGGGCTACGTTCGTGCGACAGCCCGCACGTCGGGCTTTGTGGCTCTCGAGAGCGTTGTGCCGGGTGTCGTCGACTTTTTCGTGATCCTCGACGTCGACTTTGGTGGCCATTTGTCGTCGTGGGTCCGCAAGATGATCTTGGCCAAGCAAATGCGCACGGTAAGCATGCGCTTTGTGCCCTTCGACCGTATACGATGATGATAGATTCACTTGCTCGAAGAGCATTTGAGCTCGATCGTGCAAGACAGCCCGGCGCTGCGCTACTTTCGCGAGTGCCGAAAGCTCAGTGAGCCCCAGCCGCGCATTACGAGCTTGAAGACGATCATGAAGCAGCGCTACTCGACGACCATGTCCGAGCCCGCGGGACCGGAAGAGCGCTCGTTCGGGTCGGCCCAAAGCTCGTGGTCGCTGCGCCAGGCCAAGGAAATGGACTGGAACCTCGCGATGCCCGCCGAGTGCTTTGTGTGCCGCACGCTCCTTCGCGCCGGCGCACCAACGGCGTGCGCCACGTGCAAGAAGGTACTACACATTCGTCGTCCTCTCGATGGACGATATTGACCACGAAGCGTAGACGGCCTGCGCCGAGTGCTGCCGTCCCAATAGCGAGCCGCGTCAATGCCTCGTATGCGCCGAGAAGAACGACGACGGCCGCCTGCTGAAGCGCATGACGCCCCAGCACGCACAGGTCTACACGCGCCGGTCGTCCACGTCGTCCAGCGTGTCGCAGCAATGTAAGGACTCGTGTCATGGACGACCCGAAAGCTCACATGAGAACGCGTAGGCACGACGCCCGGCCGAGTGCCGGCCAGAGGACACCGCCGGGATCCCATCGACCTCTCGTACCTCAATCGTCTTTAAGCGGGTCTACCTCGATGCGGTCGAGGCAGGGATTTGTATATTTAACATCATGCATTGTCATTGCGTATTTCCGAACGAGAGCGCATGGTAGGACATGCCGCAAGCCAGGATAGTGCAAACGTCGACCTGAAGGCATCTCTGCCCACCGACTACGAGGTGGCAAGGACGATCGCCATCAGCATAGCCATGAACGACAACGCTTCTTCGTCCGGAAGCATCCACGAAGGACGAGGCAAGCACCCAACTACAGTTGTGGCGCTGGTATACTGATAGGGAAAGCACCGGTCATATAGACACGGGGCGAAGCTAGATGTGCGAGGACAGACCCAATTCGACCCGTCGTGCGTGTGGCGGCGCATAGACGGGCAGAGCCACGACCGGCGCACAGAAAATCGAGCGGTTCGATATTTTCAGCCAATCAGACGCCGCCATGCATCTCGATTGGCGCGCTTTCCTGGAACGGAAGGTGTCGCGAGCACGCATGTCGACGGCGACGCATCGACACCTGTAGCGACTCGAACAAATACAAACGACCAACTGCAAATGTCATGTTGGCTGCATACAGGTTCTACTTCTTCATAGTGCGATCTACAGGCCGAGCAAGTACTTGATGCCCGCCGTGCCCATGCCACCAGCAAAGATGAACGGCACGACGAGCCAGGACGACGCCATGAGCATCGCCGTGCCGGAGAAGCCGTGGCCGGACGTGCAGCCGCACGCGGTGCTTGCACCGAACGCAATCATGGCGCCACCAATGATCGACGGCATCGGACCCGCGGCTTCGAGCGGCGTCCCCGAGATAAGCGACCCGCCGACAATACCGAGCGCAAAGAGCACTTGCAGCGCCGCGCTCGAGCGCGGGAGCGAGAGCCACGACGGGTTGCCGGCGACGTGCGAGAGGCCGGCGACAGCCTCACCGAGGATGTACTTCATGGCCGCCGAGACACCGAGGGACTTGCGCACGAGGAACGCCAGCGGCAACTGGAGCGCACCGACGACCGCGCCAGCAATGCACGGGTACCACGCCGACGGCGCGATCGGCTCCCGCAAAATGAACTCCAAGGCGACCGAAAACCCGACGCAGCCAAACCCGAGAAGCGTCTGCAGGAGCGCGCTCACGGGCAGCGTCGACGAGATCTTGGACCGGGTCATTTCCCACTTGGCAATCTACAGCATGCAAAGAGACGGTGAGGAAACGATTCAAAAGCACATGATGTCATACGGGCGCGCGGAGGATCATGGCGAGGAGCGTGCCAAGAATGGTGCCACCAAAGCACGCGGGCGCCGACGCGATCTGCGCGCCGAGCTGGACGTACACCGTGCCAGGGCACGAGCCGCTGATGGCATGCCCGAGCCGAGGATCGTCGCGCCGAGCACGAGGACTGTCGACGTGCTCGGGTCGGACGCGCGCGCGGCCTGCATCTTTTCAAACTCGCTCGGCTGCGACACG